CTGTTTCCCAACAGCCTTTCACCCGGTTGGGTCCTTTTTCAAATCTGAGTGGTGATTTTTATGATCTCTTGCTCTCCAATTGTGATTTTAGTTCCCTCTTTTTATTTCTTTAAAAGCATTAAACATCTTGGGGCGCCTGGGTGGCTCAGTTGGTTGAGCGACTGCCTTTGGCTCAGGTCATGATCCTGGAGTCCAGGGATCGAGTCCCTCATCGGGCTCCCTGCTTGGCAGGGAGTCTGCTTCTCCCTCTGACCCTCCTCCCTCTCATGCTCTCCATCTCTCATTCTCTCTCTCTCAAATAAATAAATAAAATCTTTAAAAAAAAAAATAAAAGCATTAAACATCTTTTATATGCCTGAATGCTTTGCACTCTAGGGGTCTAGTTCTGCCTTTTGTTGTTTCTCATGGCTCTCATTCATGGTGCCATGTTTCCTTTTTTGTTTCTAAGAGTTTTGACTACTTGCATTTCATAGGGCTTTATCGGTGAATTCATTCAGGCCTGCATTGAACATGGGCTCCTATGAGAGACATTCACAGACTGAAGTTTTGGAGACCTCCTAAGGTGGTGTAAATTAGGACTAAAGCCCGAAGGCTGGCATCATGCGGGCACCTCTGGGTGTAGGTGTACTTCTGGTTCAGTCTAACACTGAGCATTTAGTCTTGTGGGGTCTCATCTTTATGGAGATGCTCCTATGAGATTGTCCACTTTGGGAGGGCCCTAAACTTTGTCTTTCATAGACTCAGAGGCCTTGCTTAAGAACCAGAATTCTAGGTCACTAATGTAGCAGATGCCCTTAGGGCAGGTGCCAACTGGGGGCTCCGTAGACCTCACTACATTTGACTTCCACTTAGTGTTTGGCCTCTGAAGGTTCTAGACTTTTTTTTTTTTTAGACAGCTTAGTGATGTACTGAAGATTTTCGGTCTTTATTTTAGTTGTTCTGTGGGCATCTATCCTGCTACAAAGTGGTGCCTCCCTAGTCTGTGCTGGTTATGGAATTCTTAGGTGCCTTATGGGGCTGCTGGAAACCATTCTGTGCTCTTGTGGGGCTCACTTATGGAGGGCGGGGAGGGCGGGGCCAGTACCTCATGGGGCCCCGCTCCCCAGCCCTGGAGGTACTCGCAGCATCCCGTGCAGCCTGTCCTTGCACTCCCAGACATAGGCAGTCAGTGAGGCAGGACCCAGTGGGCTGGAGCTGGCAGGAAGAGTGCTTGGCTGACTCTGGTTGTGGCTTCCCCGCTTTGGCTCACTTCTCAGTGCTCCTTGTTGATTCCAAGCTTCTTTAAGGACCAGTGGTCCTGTTGCGGTAAAAGGAAAGGGTTCTGTGACTGAGTGCACGGTGGGTGCTCAGGGCTGACTCATGGGTCAGGCTGTGGTCTCTGGGTACCAGCTTCTCCCTTGGCCCTGCCTCCTCTGCGTTTGCCAGTCTTTGGTGGTTTGCCTGCCTTCCCCATGAGGGGCACCCTTGGGGCCCATGGCTGCCCTGCCTGCCTCAGGTGTGTGTGGCTTGGTGGGAGGGTGAGAGCCAGCTGTAGCCTGGTCCCAGCCACCCATGTGCCTTCCCACAGGGGACCCTGCTTGCCTGCTGCTCCTCATGCCAGGAGGAGAGCTCCAGGCCCCTCTCTGTGGGGATGACCCTGAGGCCTGCCAGGCTGCTGCTTCTGAGGCAGGACGCAGGGGGGCACTGTCGTCCTCCATCCAGAGGCCGAGGGCCTGAGGGGCTTTCGGGGTTCAAGCATCAGTTGGAAAGGCTGTCAGGGTTGCGCAAATTTTGTCAGATTGTCCTTCTTTTTAATTTTGAAAAGAATGTGTCTCTCTTTGACATCTCGAAGAGCAGGCAGAATCCGAAGTTGTGCTCGGTGGATTGAGTTTCATGTTCCTTTGCCCTCTGGGAGGAAAAGACGAGTGACAGAACAGGGAAACGAGGCAGCGGCGGGCGGCTGGTACCTTGCACTGGTGTTGCACAAGGGGCTGCGGCCTCCGCTCCGGGCGGCCCACTGCCAGGGGAGATAGGATAACGCAATTATTCTCAATTAGATTAATAAAGAATAATTAGATGTCATAAATCAAGTAATCATACGATATTGTCATGGGAAAAATATGTAGCTAGAATTAATTAGTTTTCAAATAAAGCGTTTATTTTAATTGCTTGAAATGATGGAGCCCTTAATTGCCAGTGCATCATTTTGGCCTGAACATTTTGGTTGTTGTAACAACGTGACGGGTTTGTTCCCTGCGGTTCTGGGGAAACAATAGAGGAGAACTTGATTTCATCACCTCAGACCGAGCCTTGTGCTAGTGAGGTTCTGGAAACTCCCATCAGGCCGCAGGCAAGTGCCAAGTGTGGGCTGTGCTTCGGCTGGCGCTGCCCAAGGCCCCCATGCTGCCTGTGCGTGTGTGTGTGTGTGCATGCATGTGCATGCGTGTGTATGCATGTGCGTGCCCTCTGTCCGTGTGCGCATGCGTGTGTATGAACGCAGCGTGTGCGCGCGTCAGCACCGCACCGTGGGAGGCTGTGCGGAAGTGGTCTGTAGGGCTCCGAGGCCCAGACCGTGGGGATGGGATGCCCCCCGCTCCCCAGCCCTGGAGACCGGGGCTTTTCTGATGGGTTGAGGTGCTTTAGCGGGGTTCTGCATTCTTGGGTTTCTCCAGATCTGGGGCCCTGGAGCTGACCAGCTGTTCTGATAGCACAGACAGCCAGTAGCTTCGGAGGGCCCTATAGCTGCTCCTCTGAATTTTGTTCCAAGCCTGCCTGCCGGAGGGCAGCCTTGCAGGGTTCACAGCCCCGGCTGAGCAGTGTCTCCTGGCCGCTCACCTGTCCCAGGCCAGAGCAGGGGCCATGGGTCATGGAGCAGTATGGAGTCAGGTCTCTGTGCACAGGAGGCCGTCCTTGTGTCTGGGAAGAGTCAGTTGGTTTTTAGCGAAAGGTGAGAGAGGCTTTTACAGTAAAAACCCTAAAAAAAGAAAGAAACAAACAGGGACTTGGCCATTTGTAAGCTTCATTCCCAGGGACCCCTTCCTTCTCTTTGAAACCCCTCGACAGAGGCGGGATCAAGCAGTAGAGCGGCTGCCCATGATCTCTCACCAGTAAATGTGAGCATCTGCCCCTTCCTGGCCCTAGCCCTGTAGTGTCTGCTTTGGGTCGTTAGGATCTCAGCCCCAACCCCACTTCCAGCCCTCACGTGGGCCAGGCCTCAGCTAGCCTGGTGCTGGCAGTGGCCTTCTGCCGGGTCTCTGCAGCATTTCCCTGACTCCGGTGGTCTCCAGAGTCTCAGGTCACTGCCTGTCCCTGTTCCCTCCCACCCCCCGCCCTGCTATCTAGGTGACTCAGAGCCCCCTGGCTTACAAGGCCCCAGCTGCCTTGACAGTGGCATTTCTCAGGTGCTTTGAACCTTTCACTCTAGTGAAGCTACTCCGGGCTCTCTTCTGAAGAGAGAGAGAAGGAAAGGGTCTGGGATGGTTTCAACGAGGGGAGGTACAGGGCTTCCCGGTTGAGAGTGTGGCTGAAACGGTGCCTGGACTGGTCTCCTGCTGGAGAAACCCACGCCTCTCCTGCCTCTGCGCCTGCCTGTCTCGGCCTCAGCACTCCTTCTGCGTGGGCCTCCGTGCTTGGCCTGGAACCCCCTCCAACCTCTGGCATCAGCCAAGGCTCCCTCCTGGAAGAATGCTATCTTCTCTGCTCCTGTTCTTTGCCCTGCCCAGTTCCTCTGGTGGCTGTGGCTCCCTCAGTGGCCGGGCAGCCTCCTCCCTGCTCTGTGTCCAGGCTGGAGAGGGGCAGGTGGGGAAGGGCCTCAGAGCCCAGCAGGAGAGGCCCTCCTGATGAAGTTGCTGCAGCTCCCCAGCAGTCTGCTCCTGGCCTTTCCCTCTGTACCCTCAGCCTGGCCTGGGACCTGCAGGCTGACAGATGTGCCCCCGTGGTCATTGGAGTAGGTCACTTCTGGTCTGGCAACCATCCCTGTCCCGTTGCTGGGGTGGGCTCAGTGAGGACACTGGGAGGCTTCTCCTTTCAGGTGGGTGGCCCCACAGGGCCAGTGATTTGAGGAAGGGTCACTCATCTGTGATATCAGTCCTCCTGGGGAGTGGCAAGGTAACTCAGTCCCTGCCCCTTGCCCACACACTAGTGCACCGGCCTCTCTGCCTCTTGGTGGCAGCGTGCAGACTTCAGGCCTGAGTCTGAGGGGCCTGGGGTAGCTCACCAGACCATCCCCTGCCTCCTGTTTCTCCAACAGTAAGTGTGGTGTTGCCTTCTCTAAGGGTGGAGGTACAGGCCCTCAGGACCCAGCAGGTGGTGTTTGCAGCACATGTGAGAGAGAGCCTCCTCTTCGTCTTTGGGTCCTGCTCGCTCTTCCAGCCCCCAGGGACCCCGCACACCTCTTGTCTGTCCATTGGTTCATCCCTTCAGTATGCACTTGCTGAGCAGCTGCTTTGTGCCTGATGCCAGTGGCCAGGCCTGTGGTCTGGGGGGAGCAGGCCAGTGTGGGCCCTGTTCCCCGAGCTTGCTACAGGGCCAGAGTGGACAGCATGTCCTGGCATGTCATTGCTCCCCTGCAGGGAGGAGAGGAGATGGGCATCAGGAGGGAGGAAGGAGGCTGAATTTGCAGTACTCAGCCAGGCCCAGAGGCAGGACAGGCACCCAGGGTGTGTGGAAAGCCCAGGTGAGGAGAAGGCAAACCGAGTGAGGAGGAGTCACTCCACCTGCTGCTGCGGCCAGTGGGATTCAGGGAGTCAGAGGGTATAGCTGGTGGGTGGACAGCAAGCCCTGGAGGCCAGGGGTGGGCTCTACGCAGGGCGCTGAAGGTGAGAGTGACCTCAGAAGGGTGTGGGCGCCACTGTGCCTACCCAGAGATGGTGCAGGTTGGGGCCACGGTGATGCCATTTGGGTGTAGAGGCCAATAGGCAGGATGGAAGACAGGCTGAAGGGGGTGGGTAGCATCCAGGGAGGCTCCGACTGCCTTCCTGAAGGATGACAGTGGGTCACTCACACCCTTCCTTGGTCCCCAGGTGACTGCACCCCCACCCAGTATGGCAGCCTCCCCGCTCCCACCGCCAGACCCCCAGTTTGTCCTCCGAGGTACCCAGTCGGCGGTGCATGCGCTGCATTTCTTCGGAGGAGCCCAAGGACAGGGGCGCCCACTCCTCCTCTCAGGGTGAGTAGCTGCGACCCCAACCCAACCCCGGGGGTTAGCCCAGGGTGAATTTAGGGGGCGGTGGGCTAGCAATGAGCCCGGGGCTCATTTGGGGATCCTAGTGACGGGCTCAGGCTGCCCATCACTCGGGCGGGCACACTGACTTTTCAGAACCCACTCGACAAGCTGTCCCTTGGGCCTGGCCCCCTCGGAGGAGGCAGGGAGCACGCCCTGATAGACACCATCCGGTTTACAGTGTCAGCGGCAGCCCCCTGTCCCTCTGCCTGAGGTGTCCTCAGAGGCTCCTGAGGGCCCTCTGCCCGCCATCCCTGGAAAAGGAGCACTGTGCCACTTTTACCCGTAGTTCACATGGACAGCCGTCACCTCCACGAAAAGCCCCCGAATGAAATGCCTGGTCCACTGCTGTGGGGTTGCCAGGCCAGCCCTGCAGAGCATGCTGGGAATGTTCTCTGACACCTCTGCCTGAGCCGGTGCTTGCGCTTGTCAGAACAGGTCCCTGAGCGGGCTGGTGCACATCTGGAGCCTGCAGACGCGGAGGGCGGTTGCTACGCTGGACGGCCATGGGGGCCAGTGTGTGACCTGGCTGCAGACACTGCCCCAGGGGCACCGGCTCCTCAGGTGGGTCTTTTTTTTTTTTTTAAGATTTTATTTATTCACTTGAGACACAGAGATACAGAGGGAGAGAGCATGAGCAGGGAGAGAGGCAGAGGGAGAGGGAGAAGCAGGCTCCCCTCTGAGCCAGGAGCCTGATGTGGGGCTCGATCCCAGGACCCTGGGATCATGACCTGAGCTGAAGGCAGACGCTTAACCATCTGAGCCACCCAGGCGCCCCTCCTCAGGTGGGTCTTGGTGGCAGCGAGCCAAGAGGGGCCAAGAGCTTGCCACTGGAGGCTCTCGGGGTCTCCCCCAGCTGCCGGGGCAGCCCCTCCCCATGGCAGAGCAGTGTGATCTCTGCCCTTGGCCCGTCCGGAGGCCATGTCCGGGGACACTGGGTGCCCGGCACTGCAGCCTCTGTGACCACTGCTCTGTCCAGGCGGGTGCCCACCGAGAAAAGCCTGAAGAACGCACAAAACAACTCCGTCTGCAGCCCCACACGCCACCTGTGGCCTGAGTAGAGCCCTCCCTGGCCCGCCAGGGCTCTCCAGTGGCAAGAGCTAGGCGTCCATGGCTGAGCTCAGGGCTTCTCCTTAAAGGAGCCTCAGCTTCCCTCCTGGGGACCCCAGGGCTCTGGTGTTGCAACACCTGCTCTGACGGACGGGTGGCTCCCTTCCGACGAGGTGGCGAGGACTGGTCACCAGGGTGGTGCAGAGCCTGCGCCTGAAGCCCACCCACTGATTGGGCTTGTGCTCCAGACCCCGAGTGCAGCCACCCCCCGGGGCACCGGCTGGGCCACACAGGTGCCCGGGTCCATGGCATTTGGGCTGACTGGTGCAGGGAGAGCAGGAGATGGTGAGAGCAAGGTGGGGGTCTGGCACCCCTGACAGAGGATGCTGCACGTGCCAAGCCACGGCGGACCCAGCTGTGAGCGGCTGTGAGCAGAGCCCAGAGGGGTCTGGCACTGCCACCATGGCCTTGTAGAGGTGCCAGGCTGGGGACGCCAGGCGAGAGGTGGGCCAGGAGGCAGCAGGAAGGGGCAGATGGGTGGGAGAATGAGTTTCTGTCTACCAAGTTTAAGTGAAACTTTCCTGAAAGCCCTGCAAGGCAGGTCTGTCTTCCTGCTGTGGACTCGGAGCCTGGACATCTAGGCACCATGGTTCCCGATCCCCAAAGGACGAGGCCTGTCAGGGACCCACCCTTCTTCAAAGCACTTTTGTGCTAGACATGCCGCTCCCACCACCCTGAAGGTGGCTCGCAGGTGATCAAAGGACCAGAGGTATCCAGGAGGGCGGTGGCCCTGGACACGTGTGCTTGCAGAGCCCCAAACTGGCCCCCTTCTCCCCCAAATGGTGTGGAAGGCCCTCCCTATGGTTGTGGATTTTCCCTGATGTTTAGAATAGAGGTTGCATCCAAATACCCCACTAAACCGCTTGCACTGGGGGCTGCTCTTTGTAAACATTCCTCCTGAGTTCTCAGCCAAAAGGTCTTGGGCCCTTTGGTGCCTCCTGCCCCTCCAGGGCCCAGATGCCCTGGGCTGTTCTCAGGGAACTCCCAGCCCTGCGGTCTGCTCCTCAGAGAGCTGGCCTGACGTGTGGGGAGGCAAGCGGCAAGGGCAACCGGTGAATGAATGTTTGCTGGGCCTCCCCTTTCCAAGCTGGATGCCACTGCGGTAGCCCTGCTGCAGGCAGGGGCCCGTGGGTCAGGAGGTCTGCGACGCAGACCGTGCAGGGACTTGGAATGCCCAGGTGCGTTTACGTTGCACTAGAGGCTGTGCGCCCAGCTGTGTTTGGAAGCCAGGTCTCTGCAAAGTGGCCCTTGAGAAAGGAAGGTACGCTTTCATGTCAAGGGGAGGCTGGAGGACAGAAAGCTGGGAGTCAGGCTGAGCCTTAGGCGCCGCCCTCATGCCCGAGGGCACACCTGTGTCCAGTGACAGCCACCCAGGTGCTGTGTTTTATTGTGGCCTGTAGCCCCCTTGCAGAAAAGTGCACGGACCAAGTTTACAGACTGTTGTATTATCACAGAGTGAGCACCTGGGTAACCACTCCAAGTCAGGAGGCAGAACACTGATGTCTGCTCCGTTCTTGTCCCCAGGAGGCAGCCCCCTGCACCTCGTTCTTGCCTTACGACTCGGAATGTGCATCTCCAAAAAGCATAGACTTGTTAGGTCTGGTTTTTTTCTTACTTAAAAAAAAGGGGCCATGCAGAACAGCTTCCTTTGTACGTGACTTCTTCCACTCAGCTGTACTTTGTGAGGTCCACGATGGTGTGTGTAGCCATAGGGCATTGTGTGGGATTTTTCTGTGTGGTATTCCACTGGATGTGTATGTATACCCAAATTATTTCTAATTCTACCTTCAGTGGAGATCTGGGTTGTCCACCTGGGGCTGAGAAGCTTAAGAAGACCCCCGTCTGGGTCTCCGGGTGCCTGGTGCACACGTGTCTGCAGGTTGGACCCTGGACCCAGAGGTGGGGCGTCTGGGCCACAGGGTGTGCACACGTTGGGCAGCTCAGAGGGTGCCAGGCTGTCCCCAGTGCGAGTGCCCCCCCACCCTGCACTGCTCTCTGGGGCCTGGGCACTTCTGGGTGCAGCCTCATTTGCACTTTCCTGACCACTTAATGAGCCAGCCCTCTTCTGCGTTTGTTATCCCCTGGGATAAAGTCTCCCTTCAATCCACATTTCTCTATCGGATTGACTACCTTTTTCTTATTGAGTTACAGGAGTTCTTTTTATATTCTAGAAATGGCTGATATTTTTATATCACCAGGTACTGCTCCCACAAAGTGGCTTATCGTTCTCACTCCTTAAGGATGTGTTAATGAGCAGAAGTTAGCCATTTAAATGGGGTCAGGTCTGCCATCTTTCCCTTTTGGCTGGTGCTTCTGTGTCGTGTGAAGGAGTCCCAGCCACAGGTCGTCAAGACCTTCCTGATCTCCCAGGAGCTTCAGTCTTGTTCCTTTTGAGCCCACACTGCATCTGGAATTGACTGTTGGTGAGGAGGAGCGTTCTTTGTTTCTGTATGGATACCCAGTGGTCCCGTCCTCCCTGCTCTCATTTCCCCTCCAAGTTCAGGGATGTGGGCAGCTGAGGAAGTGGACAGTAGGGGGTGGCTTCCAGGCAGAGGTGTCGGAGCAGCGTGCCCAGCGGCCAGAGAACCAGGGTGATGGGGCGAGGTCTCAGAGGCAGCTGGGGAGGTTGGGAGATTGGCTGCTTCATGCAAGCAAGTTTGTCGGTGGAGCGTGGCAGTAAATATCTTGAGGAAGATGGGAGGCAGGTTTGTCCCAGTCAGAGAATAGAGTCACAAACCTGAGAAGGAGGAAGGAGAGGAAGAAGCCTTGGGGGCATCAGCATGAACTTGTGAGGTGTTGAAAATATATACACAAAGGTATACAGAAATACTTGTGTATGTGTGTTTGCATGTGTGAGTGTGTGTGTGTGAAGCTTGTGTGTGTGAGTGAGGAGTGTGTGTGTATAGGGTATGTTTGCATGTGTGAGGTGTGTGTGAAGTATGTGAGTGTGAATGTGTGCATGAGGTGTTTGTGTGTCTGAGGTATGTTTGTGTGTGTGACTGTGTGTGAGGTGTGTTTGTGTGTGAGTGAGCTGTGTGTATGTGAGGTGTGTTTGTGTGTGTGTGAGGGAGGTGTGTTTGTGTGTGTGACTGAGCTGTGTTTGAGCTGTATGAGGTGTGTTTGCATGTGTGTGTGTGAGAGAGGTGTGTTTGTGTGTGTGACTGTGTGTGAGGTGTGTTTGTGAGTGAGCTGTGTATGTGAGGTGTGTTTGCGTGTGTGTGTGAGAGAGGTGCATTTGTGTGTGTGTGTGTGAGGTGTGTTTGTGTGTGTGTGAGGGAGGTGTGTTTGTGTGTGTGACTGTGTGAGCTGTGTTTGAGCTGTGTGTGTATGTGAGGTGTGTTTGCATGCGTGTGTGTGAGAGGTGTGTTTGTGTGTGTGACTGTGTGTGAGGTGTGTTTGTGTGAGTGAGCTGTGTATGTGAGGTGTGTTTGCGTGTGTGTGTGAGGTGTGTTTGTGAGTGAGCTGTATGTGTGTCAGGTGTGTTTGTGTGTGAGGTGTGTTTGTGTGAGCTGTGTGTGTCTGTGTCTACGTGAGGTGTGTGCGTGTGTGTGTGTGAGAGAGGTGCATTTATGTGATTGTGTGTGTGAGGTGTGTTTGCATGTGAGTGAGTTGTGTGTGTATGTGAGGTGTGTTTGCGTGTGTGTGTGAGAGAGGTGCGTTTGTGTGAGTGTGTTTGTGAGGTGTGTTTGCGTGTGTGTGTGAGAGAGGTGCGTTTGTGTGAGTGTGTTTGTGAGGTGTGTTTGCGTGTGTGTGTGAGAGAGGTGCGTTTGTGTGAGTGTGTGTGTGAGGTGTGTTTGCGTGTGAGTGAGCCATGTCTGTATGTGAGGTGTGTTTGCGTGTATGTGTGAGAGAGAGGTGCGTTTATGCGAGTGTGTATGTGAGGTGTGTTTGCGTGTGTGTGTGTGAGAGAGGTGCGTTTGGGTGTGTGAGGTGTGTTTGCGTGTGAGTGAGCTGTGTGTGTGTGTGAGGTGTGTTTGCGTGCGTGTGTGTGAGAGAGGTGCGTGCGTGTGTGTGACTGTGTGCGTGTATTTCCTGGCTCTGGCGAGAGGGCCTGGCGGCAGCAGCACCCCCCAAGAGTGAGCACACCAGCACCCAGATCTTGGTTTGCAAATCTCTCTGCACCGGAAGGAACAAGGATTCCTTGGAGAAATGATTCCGGGTCTGGACTTTCTTGCTGATGGGCACGTGTCAGAAGGACTCCGAGCCAGCTCGAAGGGGGTCCCGTTGGCCAATCTGGGATGGTTTGAGCACAAAAATAAATAATATGAAGTGTAGATGACAACCCACTGAGTAATAGAGGAACACGTTAAGTCCAAACTGATGGAAACAGAGAGAACAGAAGGAGAGGGAAACGTCCATTCTTCCTGTAGGATAGCATCTCGTAAATGGAGGAGCTGGTGGGCTTGGGAGTCCCCTGCCAGTGGCTGGGAAGGCCTAGTGGTCAGGTGGGCAGCATCTCTGTGTGCCAAGGCTGAGCCGTTTGAGGGTTAGGGTACAGACTGACCACCCGGGGTCTGATGTCTCTTAAAGGTATTTTGCTTTTAACTTGGCAGTATCGGGTGAACACACTTTTTCTTTTTTTTTTTTTTTTTAAGATTTTATTTATTTATTTGACAGAGAGAGAGTACAGGAAGGCAGAGAGGCAAGCAGAAGGAGAGGGAGAAGCAGGCTCCCCACTGAGCAGGGAGCCCGATGCGGGACTCGATCCCAGGACCCTGGGATCATGACCTGAGCCGAAGGCAGACGCTCAACCGACTGAGCCACCCAGGCGCCCCTGAACACACTTTTTCACAATACCGCGGGTCAGCTCCTATCTGCCCTCCCTTTGGGTGCGGTGTGCCAGACATTTGTCACAGTCTGCAGTACATCTTGGGAGCCTGACACCCTGATTGTTTTCTTAAAGTATACACACTAAAGTTTGCTCTTTGTGTGGTGGTTCTGTGGGCTTGATGATGTCCACCATCACGTCAATGCTGCCCCAGGGCCACACAGGGCAGTCAGCACCCTGCAGAGCCTCTGTGCTGCCCCCTGTAGGCGGCGACCCCAGTCCTCCCCGTGCCATCATGCCGCCCCCGGATGTCCCACCAGGGGAATCATGCCATTGGTGGCCTTTTGGCTCTGGCTTCCCTCGCTTAGCAGAACGCATCTGATATTCCTGCGGGTTGTAGCATGCGTCCCAGTTTGTCCCTCTCTACTGCTGAGTGGAATTCTGTGGTGCAGATGCACAACGGCTGGTTCCCCAGCTTGCTGCTGAAGAGTCGCGTCCAGTTTGGTTTGGGCGGTTAGGAACAGAGCTGCTGTAAACATTTGTGTACGGGCTTTTGTGTGAATATAGGTTTTAAATTCACTTGGGAAAATGTGTGAGGGTGGGATTGCTGGGCTGTCACAGTTAAATCACAGAGGGAAGGAGGAGGGTGAGCTCACACTTTGGCAGCATGGGGAGTGGCAGGAGGAGCACAGGAGGCTGGTCATGGGGCGTGTGTCGCAAAGCTCCCTGGAACCTGGTTGACGTTGCCCCCTTGGGATAGCCCATGAATGTGTCAGGCATCAGGCATCTTGGATGCAAAGCCCTTCCTTGGCTGAGGTGTGCCAGCCAGGTAAGCAATACCATCTGGGTCCCTCTCTGGACGGTGTCCCCTGCCTTCCTTGGTGTCAGGCTGGCCCAGCCGGCATGCCAGCATTTGTCCAGGTGGGACACCCAGTCTGCTCACCTGGGAGGCTCACGGCCTGTCTCCTCTTGGTTTGGCAGTCAGGGCCGGGACCTGAAGCTGCGCCTATGGGACCTGGCAGAGGGCAGAAATGCCATCGTGGACTCTGTGCCCCTGGAGAGCATGGGCTTCTGCAGGAGCTCCGTCCTAGCCGGGGGTCAGGAGCGCTGGATGCTGGCCATGCCAGGGAGAGGTAATGACGAGGTGAGTGCCAGCCCGCGTGGTGCCTGGTTCCACAAGCTGCTTGCACTTGGTTCCCCTAGATGGGCATGCTCATCCTAAGCACCTGTTACAGGAACGCTGTGCCCACCACAGGAGCCCCACAGAGTGCCGGATTGCAACTCCAGGGGCCTTGGTCTGGCCACCTGTGGGGTGCCTGGTGGCGAGAGTCAGGAAGGAAGGCCCCAGCACCCAGTACTGCATGGCCTGAGGAGTGCAGGGGGAAAGACTGCCTGGAGAGGTCCTCTGAGGACTTAGGAGCAGGCATGCATGGAGGGAAGTCCCGGGCAGGCCAGCAGGAGGTGGTGGGAGAGAAATCAAGGCCTTGTGGAAGTCTGGGCAGCAGGGGCAGCCTTTTGGGGAGCTCAACTGGGTTCTGGCATGAGAGGCCTCAGTCAGACCTGGGATGCTGGGGCTAAAGGCTGCCACTGGGGTAGTAAGCGCAGAAAAGAGGGGGCAGGTGGGCGTGATGGAGCCTCGGAGGTGATCGTCAGATGGAGCTCAGGCCAGAGTGGCCAGCAGTGGTTGGTGACGGGGATCTGGTCAGGCTGGACAGCGTGTCCACATCCCCAGAGGCAGAAGAGGCAGAGTCCACCAAGGGAAGTGGTGCCCAGGACATGGGAACCGGTGGTGGGAAGCAAGGGTGGAGGGTAAGGTAGAGGGTGACAGTGTGGCAGGAGGGGCCAGCGCTTGGGGAGCTGAAGGGAAATTGAAGAAGAAACCCAGGAGCAGCGATTGGACAGGCCCGGTGAGTGCGGGAGCATAGCTGCTCAGGGTCTGGGCCGAGTTGGGCGGGGCGGGCAGGGGCTCTGAGCGTGGGGCAGGGAGGGCTGGGGGCACACACATGCAGGGAGAGCGAGCCTCCTGTCTGCCACGCACGCCCACGGCTCCCCGTGCTCCCTGCTGGCCCCAAGAGGCTGTGCAGCAGGCGGCGCTGGGCAAGGACACGGGGCCCCATGTGCACAGCGAGGTTTGGCCCCTACCCAAGAAGACTCGTTTGTCTTAAAGCAGATTCAGTTCATAAATAATGAGAGAGGAACAGGCATTTATTTGTTCATGATTGCGTTTAAATCACCAATTAGGAGCTACATACGCTTTTCTTGCCAATTTGCCAAAAACCTGTTAGAAGTTTTATTAATGTGAAAAGAGAGGGGTGTGCTTCCTCCCGGACAGCCGGGGCCAGGCAGCACCAAGCCTTGCCCCTGCGCTGCCCGCCACAGAGCCTGGCCCTTCCTACGGACGTGGGGGTGCCGTGTGCGGCCCTCCCCTTCTCGGCCACTCCAGGCCTTCCTGGCTCCCCCGGGGCCTGGCCCCGGACACCCCCATGTGCTGCTCGAGGTGTTCCGAACTGCCTTGCTGGCTCCCTATCCACCAGTGCAGGCGCCATCTGTGTTTTTCAGGAGCAGCCAGTCCGAGGACCTGGGATATCCTGGGAAAATGGTGGTTTTCCATGTTCCCACCTGGAATCTGCCTGGACTGAATCTGCTTGGAAAAGCATCGCTGGCCTGTGCCCAGACAATGCCCGGGGAGGACATGCTCCCACCCCGCTTGGCCATCTGGGTGGCCACACTTGCCCAAACCAAACATTTTACCTTCTGGAAACAGAGGTTGCAACTGAATGCCAGATGGAAAGCACACTGGTGTCTGTAGGAGGCTCCGAGCACAGGCATCCAGGGCCTTGCCAGAGCCCAGAGGTCTTCCTCGGACCCACAGCGGCCCCTGGGCTTGCCCTGGTCCTCAGGCCCTGGGTTCCCCACTCTCCTGCACCCAGGATGTGGCTGTGGGTGCCACCACTCACACTTCCTCCCACAGTGTCTTGCTCAGGCTTCAGGCTGTCCTGGTTTTCCCCCTCTCCTTCCCGAGCTGCCTTGCAAGGTGACTCACCCCTACCTGATCCCCTTGCCTTCACCCTCCTCCTCACTCACACCACCAGAGGGATCTTCCTGGGCCCACAGATCGGGAGAGGCCATTCCTCACTGTACCCGTGCGCCCTTGTGCCAGGCCATCCAGGGTGTGGGCCTGTGCACACTGTGTCCAGTGACGTCTGTTTCTTCTGGTATCCCTCCCCCCACCAGTGCATGCAAGCAGTCAGGGTGGCTTCTCCCCCCAGCCCCCCAACCACCCAGTCAACATCTTTTTTTTATATCTTAAATTTTTATATTAAAAAAATTTTTTTGAATTTTTTAGCAGGGGGAGGGGCAGAAGAGAGAGAGAATCTTTTTTATTTTTGAATTTAATTTTTTTTTTTTTTTATTCATGAGAGACAGAGTGAGAGAGAAAGACAGAGGGAGAAGCAGGCTCCCAAGGAGCAGGGAGCCCGATGCGGGACTCGATCCCAGGACCCCGAGATCATGACCTGAGCCGAAGGCAGATGCTTAACCATCTGAGCCACCCAGGCGCCCTTGAATTTAATTTTTTAAAAAGATTTTATTTATTTATTTGAGAGAGCGAGAGAGAGAGAGCACAAGTCGTGGGCAGAGGCAGAGGCGGAGGAAGAAGCAGACACCCCGCTGAGCAGGGAGCCCGATGCGGGGCTCCATCCCAGGACCCCGAGATCATGACCCGAGCCGAAGGCAGACGCCTAATCGACTGAGCCACCCAGGTGCCCCTATTTTAAAAATTTTTTTTTAAAGATTTTATTTATTCATTTGACAGAATGAGAGCACAAGCAAGGGGAGCAGAGGCAGAGGGAGAAGCAGGCTCCCCGCTGAGCCCGATGTAGGACTCGATCTCAGGACCCTGGGATCATGACCTGAGCCAGAGGCAGATGCTTAACTGCTCTGAGAGAATCTTAAGAGAGGAGCATTTCTTTTTCTGTTCTGTGGGGCGTCTGGCGTCTGGGGTGAGCATGCCCTGGCTGGGGCTCACAGGCTTCCCATAGTGTCTACAGCCGATTCTCAAGCAATAAGCCTGAAACTGAGCCACTGTGCCAAGGACACAAGGGCTCCGAAAGCCCCCTCCCCTTCTCCTGGATTTTCCCCTTACTTCTGGGCCATTCTTAGGTACCACTGTGTCTTGGTTGTCACATGACTTTTCTTGCATTTCTTTTTATTTCGCTAGAGCTTCTCCTTGAGCATTTTTGCTGTTTCAGGGGCTCCTTCTTCTAGCAGCCTCTTATTTCATGACAGTAATAACCGCTCACGTCACTGAGGGTCTTTTCTGTCTCCTTTGTGGGCAGTGGGGGCTGCAGTGGCTGGCATGGACACTGATCCTGCAGGCCCAGCAGACGGTCGGGGGGCCTGTCTGCATATGCTTACATATGTGCGTGCTTGTTTGTGGGGATGTGTACGTACTCTGCAGTTAGCCCCTCCCCTACAATACTGTGTGGGCCTCTGGTGAGAGCCCTGTCCAGAAGGGCCTCACAGTCTCAGCCTGTGGGGGTGCCGCCCCCACGCAGGCCCGCAGCTGAGAGGACCAGGCCGTGACACTGGCTTTCTACCCTGCCTGCCATGTGCCCTCAGATGGACCCAGCGTGCAGGTAGCAGATCTGGAACTCCCACTCAGGACTTAATCTCAGGCCTTGGGCCGGTTCTCCCACATGGGGTAGTTAAGAGCAGCCCAGCTCAGACCCACATGCCTTCAGTTCACTGGGCGGCAGACAGCACCTATCCCCTCTGCACCTCAGACTTCCTCTGCAAACCGGAGGATGTCCCCTTGTTGGCCAGGGATGATGTTGGCTCCACAATGGCTGCACATTGTGTGACATTATCAGTACAGCCTCTCTCGCCCGTATCCAAGGGCGCCAAGGGCTTGTTGAGCCTCCCCCTCATGGAGCGGTAGAGCTGCTTCACACGGAATCCCCTCCACCTCCAAGCACCACAGGAGGGGGCGCCCTTGTCCCTGCTCAGTGGATGAGGGAGATGAGGCAGTAGGGATGCAGATGGCTGGGGGCCCAGTTTCTGGTCTGCAGTGCTCTGGTGCCCGAGCCTGCTCCTTGTGGCTGCAGCTGTCCCCTGCAGATGGCGTGGGGCAGAGCTGGGCCCAGCTCGGGTAGACAGGCCTGAGTGTGACCTGGCTGTGTGGACCAGAAAGGCACATCTTCCAGCCCGGGCGCAGGAGGGCCTGCACCTGCATTCAGGTGACACAAAACACTGTGGGGTGCTGGGACCAGTCAGGCCCCAAACAGAGTTCCGCTTGGGTGCATACCATGTTCATTTCCTAGGCTTGCTGGTGGTCCCCAGGGGTTCCCTGTGCAATTCTTTTTTTTTTTTTTTTTCAAAGATTATTTATTTGTTTGTCAGAGAGAGCACAGGCAGAGGGAGAGGGAGAAGCAGGCTCTCTGCTGGACAAGGAGCCCGACGTGGGGCTCCATCCCAGGACCCTGGGATCATGACCTGAGCCGAAGGCAGACGCTTAATTGATGGAGCCTCGCAGGGCCCCCCCCATGCACTTCTGTAAACCATTTGATACACCTGAGATAGTTCAGAGTTGTTCACATGAAAGCCCACATCAGGAAAGAGGAGGCAGAGATCAGGAGGATGGACAAACTGAGTCTGTGCCAAGCCAACCTCCTGCTCAGTGAAGAGGTAAAATCAGGAGGGGCCAGAGGCGGCTGCCAGCCAGGTGGTGATGCTGGTTAGAGGGACATGCCGGTCACTCAGTAATGACATGTGAGTTTCACAACGCCCAGCAGCGCCTGAGCCCACGAGCCTGTGCGGCCTAATTAGGAGGCTCAGCTCCCAGGTTCCTCCGGGGAGCAGACAGAAACTCGCAGCAGCCTTGGCTAATCACCTTAAAAGTCTCTTGTTTGTATAGCACAGGCTCGACTTGGCGCCGGCCCAAATAAACTTGTTTTCTTACTGTCAGGTTCAGATTCTGGAGATGCCATCCAAGACGTCAGTGTGCACCCTGAAGCCGGAGGCAGATGCCAAGCCGGGCATGCCCATGTGCCTGGAGCTGTGGCAGGTAAGGCCCAGCGCACGCCAACCACGCCCTGCTGGCCACGCCTTCTGGGCTGTGAATCATGCCCCATTCAGGATTTGATTTTTCGTCAAATCAAAGGACAATTAGCCCCCTGGGAATCCATGTGCACGCTGCCTTCCGCAGCCTCGGTGTCCCCGCCGGCTCCCACTGCTGTCCTACCTACAAACTGGCTGGGGCAGGCCTGGCTTATGCTGTCCCCTGCATGGTGCCCCCCTGCCGGTGCAGTGAGGAGGGACAGCTGGGTCAGCGGAGGGCTGCGAACTCTGCTCCCTCTCTGCACATCGGCGTGCTGGGGCTAGGAGGGAAATGCTGACACCCTGCAAGCCAGCCCGGCCCCTGCTTTGCTTGGGATTACTTTCTTTTACTTCTTTGCCTCAGAGGCAGGAGTGGGCTTAACATGCTGACTTTCCCTACGGCCACACTTGGCGTTTCTTTCTTTCTTTTTTTTTAAAAGATTTTACTTATTTATTTGACAGAGAGAGACACAGCGAGAGAGGGAACACAAGCAGGGGGAGTGGAAGAGGGAGAAGCAGACCTTCCACAGAGCAGGGAGCCCGATGGAGGGCTTGATCCCAGGACTCTGGGATCATGACCTGAGCCGAAGGCAGATGCTTAACGACTGAGCCACCCAGGCGCCCCTGGCATTTCTGATTCATAGCCATTTTCTTCTTTCTTGTCTATTCTTTCTTTTTTTTTTTTTTTTTTTTTTTAAAGATTTTTTATTTATTTATTTGAGAGAGAGAACACATGAGAGGGGATAGGGTCAGAGGACGAAGCAGACTCCCTGCCGAGCAGGGAGCCCGATGCGGGACTCGATCCAGGGACTCCAGGATCATGACCTGAGCCGAAGGCAGTCGCTTAACCAACTGAGCCACCCAGGCGCCCTTGTCTATTCTTTCTGATTAGAGAGGGTCAGAAGACATCTCCTGGGGCTGGCAGCTGAAGCCTGGGACCAGGGAGTGGGCCACACACCTGAGTCCTGGCAGGATGGGTTTCGGCTCCAAGGCCAAGTGTGAGGCCTTGGGAGGGATCCTCCTGGGCCCACCCACTTGCCTCTACTAGAAGCCCCATCCCTCCTCAAGGCACAGCCTCCTCCCGGCCACAGGGAACAGCACTGGCTCAAAGCATACGCTTCTGCTTCTCAGGGCTGCTAGTGTTTAGGGCAACAAAGCAAATGGTCTGGTGTGTTCACTTGGAAAGAACCGTAGGCAGCATCTCAGCCGTGGCGGAGACCGTGGTGGACAGGTCATTGACCAGTGCCTGCCCTGGGGAGCACTGCTTATAGGCCGTTTTCCTAGCACTGTTCAGTTCACCAGCACCTTCTGGCAGCTACACTGAGCCTGCCTGAGATCGGAGGAGGTGATCCTGCCTCTTGCCACACTGCTTGTTTGAACTCTTTACAAGATGGGCTTGGGCGCTTTAGAGATGTCTATGGGGCCAACAGGACCCACAGGGCCAGGCACCCCCAGAGACCTTGCCCCACACTTTTTGTCCCTCCAGGGACCTGGGCCTTCTTGCCATTGGTTTCCCCCTATGCAATTTCTTAACTGAGAACATTCCAATTGGAATTCGTTTCCAGTTGGAAATCTCTTATAAGCTGATTGTGTGGCGTCCTGGTGCTGCCCACGGGGAGCTGAGTGGGCGGGGGCTCTAAGAGAGGCGCCTGAATGGCAGTGCTCCTGGCACCTGCAGGTCTGTGGCGGGGAACAGCCTGAGGCTGGGACGCCTGGGGCTGAGGCGTGGCGCTCACACTCCCGGGCAGGGCATCCCGGCTGCATCCGCTCCCACTCTGCTCCCTGGAAACACTGTCGTTGCGTAATCATGTAAAAATTCCAGCAGAAAAATGTGTAGAAACGGGATGTACAAACTTGTTAAGGTAATTAATATAGTTGACAGAAGGACAAATCAAGTTTTTGTTAGTTGATACAGATCCAACGCAAAGCCTTCTGTTAAAAAAGAGTCAACATTAATTTGAAATGTCCTTTTTTTCTCTCCAAACCTGAAGGTCCAGGTTGTAGTTTATTAATTTGAGTGTGGCAGAGGGGCCTGACGTGGTATTTCTCACTGAAACATTCAGATGTATTCTTTTTTCATCTTTTTTAAAAAGATTTTATTTAGGGCGCCTGGGTGGCTCAGTTGGTTAAGCGACTGCCTTCGGCTCGGGTCATGGTCCCAGAGTCCTGGGATCAAGTCCCACGTCGGGCTCCTGGTTCAGTGGGGAGCCTGCTTCTCCCTCTGACCCTCTCTCCTCTCATGCTGTTTTTCTCTCTCTCTCTCTCTCTCAAATAAATAAATAAATAAAATCTTAAAAAAAAAAAAAGCTTGGTTTAAAAAAAAAGATTTTATTTATTTGAGAGAGGGAGAGAGAGGGAGAGAACATGAACAGGGGGAGGGGCAGAGGGAGAAGGAGAAGCAGAGTCCGTGCTGAGCAGGGAGCCTGACGATGTGGGGCTCAATCCCGGGACTCTGGGATCATGACTTGAGCCAAAGGCAGATGCTTAACGCCTGAGCCACCCAGGCGCCCCATATTCTTTTTTATGTATTTATGTATTTATGTATTTATGTATTTATTTATTTTTTAAATATATATTTTTTTAAGATTTTATTTATTTATCAGAGAGAGAGAGAGACAGAGGCAGGCAGAGGGAGAAGCAGGCTCCTTACTGAGCAAGGAGCCCGATGTGGGACTCGATCCCAGGACCCTGGGATCATGACTTGAGCCAAAGGCAGACGCTTAACTGACTGAGCCACCCAGGCGTCCCTTTTTTTTAGATTTTTAAAAAAACGGAGCGTGCGCACACAAGTGGTGGGGAGGGGCAGAGGGAGGAGAGGAGAAAGTAGACTCCCCGCTGAGCGCCACACCAAGGGGATCGACCTCAGGACTCAAGGATGAAGACCTGAGCTGAAGGCAGGCAGACTGAGCCACCCAAGCACCCCATATTCTTGTTTTGCTCTTCAAAGTGGCTGACTTGCATTGTTAGGATGATTATCACATAAAAGGTCAGGAATATCGATCACAGCAGCCCTGAGAACGGGCTTTCAGACCCTAGGCCTAGGGTCCCCTCTAGTGAGCTGGGAGTTCCTCCCAAAGGACTGGTCCCAGGAGGTGCTGTAGGCGGGACCTGCCTGCTGGGGTCCCTCCCAGTCAGCATGCCCAGAGACAGGAGAAGACACAAAGCGAGTCTTTGTGGCAACTTCAGGTCCTCACCCCATGGAGATCAGCCTGTTACCAAAGGCCTGAGGCCATAAGACCACTGTTCTGCCTGTGCCGCATGTTACTGGGGGCCACAGGGGCCCTGCAGCACAGATGGGGAGCAGCAACCATCAGGGCTGCAGCTCAGCACTTGGTCACCCTTGGCAACAGTGAGGTGGGCCCCTGCAGGTCAGTCTGGCTCCTGATCTGGCCACCCTGTGGCACTTTGATAGGTGGGTGAATAGCATGCAGCCCCTGAACGAGCCGAGATGCTCAGAACCCAGAGACCACAGGCATGATGCAGACTTGGGCTACAGAGACAGACCAAAACCAATGTGTTGGCACTGGGAGGAGCCCCAGATGTGGGAGGAATGTGCCCAGGGGATGGGAGAGGAGCAGGGCCCTGGGGGCAGGGGGTCGGGGAGAGGCTGGGCAGAGGCAGGGTGGATGGCAAGCAGGTGACAAGACAGATCACTGCCCTGAAGGGAAGAGACCCAAGTGGGCCCCAGGTGAGTTCCTCAGAGCTGACCTCTAAGGTGGGGCCCAGCAGGTCTGGCCTAGGGGGTTGGCCTGGTCAGCCGACAGACAGAGCATTGGGCTGTTCTCACCTGGCTCTCACCCTCCCAGCAGAGTCCAGATATGGCTGCTCAAGGGGGAGGCCCCTTCTGGAGAGGCACAGCTGCCTGAGAGGAGGTACCCGAGCAGAGGGCCTGACCACTTCTTAAAGCAGTCTGTACGTGTCTGGAGAAAAGCCATATAAATAATTTTATACCGCACAAATAGTTTCCAATTGGGTGACTTGAAAGATACCAAAATGGAGCTCTTCCCCATTACAAAACTACAGAGAAAGCATACCAACAGTGATGGCTTCGCACAGGAGACCAGACGGAGGCAGTGGCCACGCTCAGCTGCTCGCAGCCTTGGCCCCTCCATGGCAGGCCTCAGCAGGAGCTGTGCACACACAGGGTTCATGGTCACAGGACCCATATCCTGACTGCTTGCCCAGTCGGGCCCACGGAAGTGGGGGGGGGGGCAGTCAGCCTGCAAGAGGCCCCAGGGAGGGGCACAGGCTGCCAGAGGCTAAGTGGAGCTAAGGAGCCTTTCTTTGTATGAACATCTATTACCATCAGAAAAGGTGTAGAAGGGGCACCTGGGTGGCTCAGTCCGTAAGCGTCTGCCTTCGGCTCAGGTCATGATCCCAGGGTCCTGGGATGGAGTCCCACATCGGGCTCCCTGCTCGGCAGGAAGCCTGCTTCTCCCTCCCCCACTCCCCCTGCTTGTGTTCCCTCTCTCGCTGTGTCACTCTGTCAAATAAATAAATTTAAAAGAAAAAAAAGAAAAGGTGTAGAAGCCGTTTCCGGGGATGTGCAGGAGGCGTCTTCCAGGCTAGCTCTGGCCTGCGAGGATTCCCTGGGCTGTGGGTAGGTCTTGGTGACTGTGTCCTCCCCATCATCTGGCCCACCATCTCCTTCTGATCAAAGAGCTGGTCTGCATCAGGCTCCCCCTGGCTCCCTTCACTAACCGGGGCCCCGGTGACACCACACCCTAAAGCCTGTTTCCCTTTCTGATGCACAGAGAGAGCCCTGCTTCCATGTGTAGAGGATGTAGTATCCACTTATTAGATACATGACCTGTTGCTTTCTGGCTAAACCCGGTCACCTTGCTTAGCTGAGCAAAAAGGTTCTTTCTGGGCGCTCTTGAATATTGTGGAGAGGCACTCTGTGTGATGTGTACAGCATCTGGACCTGGAGCCCCTCTGGGCAGACGGAAGCACCCACACAGCTCATAACAGGAGCTCCAGCAGGTGGGTGAGGAGGGCCTCCATGATGCTGTCAGTCCCTGTCAGCCCACGACCAGTGAGGCCCAGGCACCCTGCTCAGTGCCAGCCTTGCCGCCAGCAGGGGACTGTTCTGGGAGTTGCCGGTGACCCAAGAGGCAGCCTCGATGACCAGCCTCCCCCTCCCCACCCCCCGCCGCCAGGATCCATTCTTACCATTGACCATCCAGAGGCTGGGGGCCAGGCCCAGAGTTCCCCGAGGCTCAGCTGAGCTCCTGGCTCTTGGAAAATTCACTGGGGAGGGGATGTGCTCAGTTATTTCTGACACTTGAGTGACGCCAACCCCAGGCAGCTCAGCAGGAAATTCAGAGGCGAGTGAAGAGCAAAAGGCATCTGCTGGCGTGTGCTTTGCCCCAGAAGCAACCTGGGTCCCTGTCTTGGAGCCTGGGCACCAAGCATGGGGCTGCCGCTCTCAGTGCTGGGGTGACACGGAATCCCGCTGTGCTCCCCTGGAGTGGTTGCCGAGGCTAGATAAACGAGGCGTCTGTCCCGGGTGCGGAGCCCTCTGACCCGCATCCTCATTCATCACAATAACTCAGGGCCGGCAGAGCTCGGCTCACACCAGTCAGCGCCCTGGCGACTCACCAGGCCTGGGGGGGTGGGGGGCTTCCGCGGCGACGTTGACAAAGCACAGAAAGTTCATTTTTCATGGAGATGGAGCTCGCGATTTCCTTTGGCTGGCAGTTCTAGACAGGTGACCGGCCTCACGAAGGGGTGGCCGCAAGTCTCCGCCTGCAGAAAGGAGGCAGGAAGAAGCAGCAGCGCCCGGCCGGGCTGGTGAGCAGTGGCATGGCAGTGTGAGGCGGGGGGCTGCACAGGGCGACCTCGGGCTCCGTGGCCTCCAGTCTCAGTCCTCGGAGCGCCCCCAACGCTGGCCCGTGCCAGCCCGGTGCCACTGGCGTCCGCTATCGGGGGGCACGCAGAGCCTCTGAACTGTTAACTGCCATGCGGGAAGCACGGGGAATAGCTCCCTGGCTGGGCCACCCCCACTCCCACCCCAGCGGGAGAGGCCGCCCCTCTCTGGAGCCCCTTCTCTCCCCAAAACCTACCAGGAGCCTTCGGGTGCTGACTGCTGTGCTGTCCCCGCAGGCCGACTCCAGTGCCCGCCCACTCCTCCTGGCTGGCTATGAGGACGGATCGGTGGCCCTGTGGGACGTCTCTGAGCGGAAGGTGTGCAGCCGCGTCGCCTGCCACACGGAGCCCGTCATGGGCTTTGACTTTGACTCCCAGAAGGCCAGGGGCGTCTCGGGCTCCGCGGAGAAGGCGCTGGCTGTCTGGAGCCTGGATGAGCAGCAGGCCCTGCAGGTCAGTGCGCCAGACCCGAGGTGTCATTTATCCTGCTTTGCACTAACAGTCTGATAGGCTGAAACAATATTTAGGCATGAAGAGGAGTTGTTGCAGATCCCTGGCTAATTAATCACTGCGAGGCGGGGTGCAGGCCAGCCTGTCCGCGGGGCCGGTGCAGGAAGAAGGGGGCGTGGGCGTTTGTGAACCGTTCACATGGTTTGGGTTTCTCTCAGACCTCGGGTTAACAGCAGTCACGTCTTGTCCATCTAGAGAAAAGGCATGTAGAGTCCGGGAGTAGGCAAGTCCATTTGCAAAAACTCAGAGGAATTCGGTCAGTAAGGAACTGATTAATCAACAAAAACCAACCCAGTGTGGAGAAATCCACAGAGGCACGCCCCCAGGGCAGTCTGCAGGCCAACCCCAGGAAAGTGGTTCCTCTCTGCCCACCACAGTGGGGAAGGGGTGTGAGGCCTCTGGCTGGAGTGGGGTGTTGCTAGAAACCTTCCCATGAGGTCTCAGTGGACTCTCCCTTCCCACATGGCTCGTGGAGCACTTGGGGGCCAGGTCTGGGCCTGTGGCTGGTGCTCAGCATGTGGTGGCCCAGCCTGCACCCTCAGCCCTGTTTTGGACTTGGGGGGTAAAGTTGCGGGGGGAGCCTCCTGTCCAGGCCTCACACTAGGGCAGGTCCCTGGGGGGCTGCAGGTCACAAGGGATGAGACGTGTGATGCCTCTTGGCCCCCAGAGGGTGGCCTGGGTGCACTCTGGTGTCTTGGGGTGGCCGAAGAGTCCCCATTAGCCAGGAAGCCTTGGAAGGCTGAGACTTGGCCACTTGACTAGCGAGTGGAAGCTGCATGGGAGGGCAGCGCTGTAAACCTGGGTCTGGTCGGGGAACAGGGCCCCGGTTGGGAAATGTGTGGCCCTCAGGGAGACTGGCAGCAGAAGCAGCAGAGGCTTGGCGCCTGGCCTCACCTGGAGTGCTGGAGGGCAGTACCGCCCTTCTCTGCAGGAGCTGTGGTGGAGAAGGCATCTCCCCTCGCCAGGTGGTAAAGCCTTGCCTACTAGCCTGGCAAGCCTGCCTCACCCCACACTTGCCCAGCCTGGACCCTCACAGCCAGAGGAAGAAGCCCTGGGCAGGCACCACCAAGCCCCTGAGGCACATGGGTTGGAGAGGGGAGAGGCGGGCGCCCAGGGAAAATCAGGGCATGCTGCGGTGCCTAGCAGGCATCACACGTCCTGGGTGCCATGCAGGGGTGGGGCCTCACCACCCGGTCATCCCGAAAGAGGGACAGAGCGAGGACAGCTAGGGCAGGTGTCTCATGGGGTGGGTGAGGAGTCCTGGGGAAGATGGAGGCTGAGAAGGAGCCAGGTGGCAGGGTGCTGGAGGGAACGGTGACGGACATGGAGGCCCAGAGACGGACACAGCTCGGGCAGAGGGAGACCTGGGAGGGGCCCTTTCATGTTGAAGCTGGAGTTGGGACTGGCATCCTAAAAAGAAGGATCCTGTCCGAGAACAAAGGTGAAAACCAGAGCAAGTGGCCAGCAGCAGCAGGGCGGAACTGCCTACTGTCCTGGTGTGAGGCTGCCTGGTGTCTCTCCAGGTGGGATCCGAGCAGGAACCTGAGGGTGGGGAGCAGCCGGCCAGAGCCCAGCAAGAGAAAGGAAAGAGGGGATCACAGGTCACATTTGGGGATAGGGTACACATTTATGCTTCCTTAGCATTGCTCCTTTCCAGCAGATCAGCTTGTGCCAGTACATGGCTGACTACAGTAAAGCCAACGACCCATCTGTCCTTCTGTCCTTCTGTTGTCTTAGAGAGCCCATGGAGGCCCCAGGGGAAGGGGGGTTAGACAGGCTTCCAAATGAGGCCAGGCCTGGCTGTGGTGGGTCAGAGCTTCTCATGCCTCTGTCCCGGCGGAAGGGTCCCAAGGCCTTGGAATGGTGGACCTGAGTGGGGATGGGAGTGAATGTCGTCATGATGGCTGTCATCTTTAAGACTGGGGCAGAGCCAGTCTTCATGTCCTCAGCAGAGGAGGGCACCTCACTGGGTGTCGAGCCCAGCCAGGTAGGCCTTGGAGTTCTCTCTTGCACCCCTCCTTCCTGCTCCTCGAGCCTGGTGGGGACCAGGCAGGGCCTCCACCTTCCCACTGTGGGGTCCAGTGCTCCATCCCGCTATGGCTTGAATTTCATATGGCCTGACCTTGCAAAAGGCTGAAGACTCAGTTGGCTCCCCTGAGAACCCCACCCTGGACTGCAGTACCCCCAGGGGTACTGGGCGCTCTTGAATATTGTGGAGAGGACCCTGGAAGGGTCCCCTCCTGCCGACCTGGCCCAGATCTGCCTGCTCTCTGCCAGCTTGTTCAGGAAACAGCTGCTGGAACTTAAGACTTAAATTTATGGGGCATGTTCCAGTCCAGAGATGAACTTTTACTTTTACTGATGAACTGAAAAGTTAAAGCACAGAGGATTATTAATGAACTTGAAAGTTAAAGCAGAAGGGGAGCCAGGCATTGCGGAGTGGACGTGGTGGTTACGTGATGGTGTTATGCTGGGCTCGGGGCCCCACTCATCAGTGCACATCAAAGCAGGAGGACAGTGCTCCTCCTGCTGAGTGCGGCCACTGAAAACGGCTGCGTGTCAGGTTCAGAGTTGGCCCCAGAGGCCCTGGAGATTTTCAGGTTGTGACGCAAGGCCTCTGAGGAGGACGTATCAGGGGCCGGCGCCCACCGGCATCCACAGGCATCCTCGCCCCGAGGCCCCCGGTGCACCGTGCTGGCCTGCTGACGCGGCCGCCCGCCCTGGCCCTCGAGCCACGTGGGCACAGATGTGCCTCACCTCGCAGCCTGCTGCCGGAGTCTCTAATGAGCCCAAATCAATCTCTCCCGGGCGGGCGCTGGGAGCAGAGACGCAGATGAGGTTTCCCGCAGCAGAGCGTGGGTAATGGGAACCAGATGGCGACCGCGCCGCGTGCACATTCCTGGCACCTGAGGTCATGTGCTGTGAGAGCCACTAGTGGCCAGGGATCCCTCCCAGAGGGTCCTTATCCAGGATGGGTGCGGCCAGGGGCCATGGCAGTGACCGGGAGCCTGTGGCCACCCTCCTCAGGACACCGTGGCCTCAGGGGCACGTGGCAATGCTGGGCCACTCGCTTGCCTTCCAGAGGTGGCTTTCCCTCCAGCCTCCAGGGGATTGGGCCTTGGCTGTCGTCAGACACAGGTGGTGTGCAGACCTGCTCCTTCCTCCTACACTTGGGCAGAGCCCATGGCCTTGAAGCAGGGCTGATTTACGGCCAGCAGTATTTTTAGGCCTTTAAGTAATATTGAGGCCCCCCACCCCAGCCAGCCTGGGCTGGGAATAGGACCAACCACGCTTCCCCGAGTTGCGCCCATGGCTGGTTGGCCAGGCATCCCCTTGTCCCGCTGTGTGTCTGCTGCCCTCTTTCTCCCAGGCTCCACCCTCTAAAGGGTCAGTAGCAGGACCTGTGGGACAGGTAGGAAGGAGACTACAGGGCCCTGAGACCAAGCAAATTGTGGACACAACTCAACTCCCAGTATGCATCTCAGGAACACAGCAGAACAAGCAAGGCTCTGGGCCGCCGTGACCATGAACAGACGCTGTTGGACCCTCCTCCTCCTCCTCGGGAATACAAGCCCAGGACAGGGACGGGCCTCTTTGGGTTTAGGTCCCCATCAAAGCTTCTGTTGCTGCTTCTCTTCATTCCAGCCAGGGGAGCCCGCTTCGTCCTTTGCTTCAGGACCAGAGTCACTCCTGCCCCCATGGGCAGCGCTGGGCATCTTAGCCCCTCCCAGGTGGCGACACTGGCGTGGAAGGCGTTCTGTGCCCTGGACTCACCTTCCAGTGTGTGAAGACCACGGTTCAGGGGCCGCTATGGAAATTCACATTCCTCTTCCACTTGCCTTGGGTTCTCGCAGACTGGAAAGCAGCCCTTTTCTCCCTGTTAACAAATCCACATAAAGATGGAACATGAAGGAGGTGACCCTGAAGCAGGGCCCCACATGGGTTCCAGGGAGTCCATGGCTCCGAGCCCAGGGGTCCCCTAGCTACCCCTGGGCTTGGGGCATAGTCCACAGAAGAGAAAAGGAGGAGGGATGGTGAAGGTCATCAGTCCTCATTCCCAGTACCCCCGTTCTGGTCCATGAGAATGGAGAGGGGTTCAGGCAGGTGCACACCCTTACATGAGAGCACATGCACAATGGTCTCGGCTCCCACAGTCCTTCTCCAGCATGTGCCACTTGGTGGCCTGAGCATCGTGGTCCACCAATTGGTAGAGCCAGGCACTGGCCAGAGCCCTGGAAGAGTAGGAGGGGGTCCCTGACCATGAGATGCAGGGTGGGTGTGGAGGTGCCTGGGCGGGACACTGCGGGGCTGCCCAAGTGCTGATTGCACTGGCCAGGAATCCAGGCCATGCCTCACGGAGGCAGGGGCTGTAGCAAGCCTCCCGCGCATGCTACAGGTTGGACAGCATGTGAGTTTGCTGCCAGGTTTTGGTCTCATCATATTTTGCTGTCTCATCATATTAGATCCTCCTTCTACTCCTAGTGGGGAAAGAATCTGGATCGTGAATAGGCGTTGAGCTGTCAGACTCATGGCTTTCATTCTCAAATCAGTTAATTTAATGAATTGCATTATTTGGCTTTTATGATATCAAAACAACCATATAGTCTTAAAATAACCTGTTACAGAGCTTGTCCATTTCCGTGTGGTGGGGCTCGTCAGAGTTGTTCAGGGCCATCGGTCTGTCAATAAACTAAGCTGCACCACCTCCCCTGTTACCCAGCTCTGTTTATGGTGCTGGGGTATTCAGAGCCCTAGAATCAAGGCAGGCATCCCCTCCTCTCCTGATCTCTGGATAAGCTGGCAGGGGTCTGTTTTGTGAGTGGCCATGGGTCGCTCTTTCCCGCTGGGGCAGGTGTTTCCTCTGCAAGGAAGGCTTGATTTTCTTCTTGGACTGATTTAGGTTTCTTGATTTTTTTTTTTTTTTTTGGTAAGTTGCCTTTTTC